TACACATTAAACCTAAGCATTTTGCAGAAGATTGAGTCTGAACTTGGCTGTCAGTACTGTTCTACTTTCTATGTAAAGGTAGTTCTTCATTAGCAATTGAGAGTATTTTCTTCAGTGTTGCAGTGAAAAAGAAACTGTGAATGCTGATAGATGGCTCTGCTTCCTTCTCTGCTTTCTCCCTATCTGTCCTTGACGAGGTTTTAACCAACTGGATTTAGCATTGCAGTCAGACAAATCCCCCCATCAATTTTCAGCAACAGCAGTTGGGCTATTTATCCTCTTAAATGAGTAGTTCCTATTCTTCTGGGGTTTGTTTATGCAGGCTCTTGGCACTGATGTAAGGATGTTAAAGAATTATTTTGCTTCGTGTCCTGTGCTGTTTTGCTTAATTTTGTTTTTACCAGCATGAATTTGTGCTAAATGATGGTACTAAATTATTCCTTCCTTTCACTCGCACTGCTCTTAATGTAGTCAGATTAATCCTAAAATGACTTATTGACAGTGGGAAGCCATCCAAACCATGCAATTCTGTCTCCTCAGATGGTAAAGAACTCATGCTCCATGTAAGCTAAGATGTCTATCATTTAACCAGCCAGAGATTTGCTTTCAGTCTGCTTCTATCTTTCTTTTCTCATGGGATTACCCCCACAGTCTTTGTATTTATACAAAAAGTTTAACTAACAAACCACATTAAATATTATCTAACTATTCCCAGGCAAGGATATTTGCAAATCAGTCAACCATGGCTGTGAACATGCTTGTGTTAATGCTGGTGAATCGTTTGTTTGTAAGTGTCAGGAGGGATTCCTGCTAAGAGAAGATGGAAAAACATGCAGAAGTAAGTAGTCTGATATTTATCAGCATACTTCGTATGTGCAGCTCATGTTTGTGTAGAAATGCATTAACCAGCAAGAGCTGTCATCTGTTTTCAGGTAAAGATCTTTGCAGATCAGTCAACCATGGCTGTGAACATGTTTGTGTTAATACTGATGAGTCATATATCTGCAAATGCCATGATGGGTTCCTACTGAGAGAAGATGGGAAAACCTGCAGAAGTAAGTAGCATGAGAACTTAATTTGATTAATTTGATTAATCTGATTAATTTAATGAACACATACAATCGAGGCCTCTGCTGATGTATGTTGACTACCAACTCTTCTGTTTGCAGACAAGGATGTTTGCAATTCAGTCAACCATGGCTGTGAACAAGTTTGTGTGAATACTGAAGATTCCTACATCTGCAAGTGTCATGAAAAATTCATACTGAGAGAAGATGGAAAGACATGTAGATGTGAGTAGCCTGAGCTATAAAAGTGTATTTTTATTTGAGGTTTTTAAGTACTGCAGCTCTCAGTGTTTGCACACATGTATGTTGGTGATTTCCAACTGTTTCAGCGGGTTAGTAAGAGATACTACTTCTACCAAATGAACCTCATCTCACAAACTCCATCCACTCTCCTCAGATCAAGATGTTTGCAACTCAGTTGACCATGGCTGTGAGCATATTTGTGTTAATACTAATGATTCCTATATCTGCAAGTGTCACGAGGACTTCATACTGAGGGAAGATGGGAAAACTTGTAGGAGTAAGTTGTTTAATCTTTGTTTTGTACTTACTAATCTGTTAATGAAAAACACTGTGCAATTTGTGTCTTTAATATAGAATCAAATTCTTGGAAGGCAGCTCTTTCATAGAAGATTATTGCCATAATTTTTACCTTTTGTGACAGTTATTTACATAGATAATTGTGCTAAATATTATTTTCATTATTCCAAGGTAAAAATATCTGCAAAGCAGTCAACCATGGTTGTGAACATGTCTGTGTTCCAACTGGCGATTCATACACGTGTCAGTGTCACAAGGGATTCATATTAAGGCAAGACAGGAAAACATGCAGGAGTGAGTAGCTGAAACCTTTATGGGGAATAAATTTTTCAGTTATAAAAGAAATAACAGACTTAATTTCACTCAAAGCTTGTTCATGCCAGTTTTGCATTTGAAAAATGGTCTAATAAGGAAATTCTCTTAACAATTCTCAGATAAAGACCTGTGTAAATCCATTGACCATGGCTGTGAACACGTGTGCGTTAATAATAACAATTCATACAGCTGTCAGTGCCATGAGGGTTTTGTCCTGCGACAAGATGGCAAAACATGTCGAAGTAAGTAACTCAGTATGTCCGTCAGCCACTCTTCTCTGGCATCACTACATAAACAAACAAGGATGTCATACTCCTTTGTCATACATTATTCCAGTATCATGTTTTCAGTCTTTGAATTTATAAATATGTTAAGTACAACACATATAAATATTTCAATTTACAGATAAAGATGTCTGCAAATCGGTTGCCCATGGTTGTGAACATATTTGTGTTAATAATGATGATTCATATATCTGCAAATGCCACGAGGGATATGTACTAAAAGAGGATCAGAAAACATGTAGAAGTAAGTACATTTTACTTAGAAAGCATTTGTTTCTTTGATTTCTAAACTACTTGACCTCACTTCAAAAAATGCCTCACTTCAAACATGATACAATATTTGAAAGCCCAAAGCATATGCGAGTGTGATGGAAAATGTCTTGAATAATTAACTTGATGCTCTCATAAGCAAAAAACTATCAAATTGGAAGTTATTTTGGTATAGCTTCAAAGTATGATAATAATAATTTTCAAACGTGAAGAAAAAAAGCCAAAGTGAAATCTTGTTATCAAGGAATGTGCACTTTAATCAGATTCATATCCTGTGTTGCTTTTACCTTTATATACTCTGTTTTAAAGTGTCACTACTTCTATTTACTTATTTTCCGACATGACATGCTTAGAGTGTGACATACATTTATGTCATCGCCTCTTAATGCTCAGAGGAGATATTCTTCTACTGGAACAAAGTAAAAACATTTATTCTGCAAAAATGGATGCCTTACTTGGGGACACTGTTACTACCAAAAGAATGGTAACAGGTTCATGACTGATCTCAGTCCTGAGTAAAATCATTCACCATGAACTGGTGCCCTATCTTGACTTCTGCAATAATATTGAGGTGGCTCCGATATTCATATTCATTGCATTTCTGTCACCTTAGTAAGCGTGACACATCTTTTCCTTAGATGGCTGCAGAAAGGAATTCTTGGACAGCAGTTTTAAAATAGAGCTATTGTCCAAGAAGAAAAGGACAAGCCTTAAAGCTGAAAATTCCTTATTCCTACACTGAACTGGTAACAGACATCTTCAGTAATTTCTGCAGTCAAATTTCTGCTGCACAACTCTCTTGTACAGTGCTTACAGTATTCTTACGATACAAACATCAGAGATGAGTGGAGGTCAGAGTTTCTTTGGTCCAGACTAAGATGCAAACCTTACATTCCTTAGTATGGCAAATTCTCCCTGGAAGTTACATTGATCAAAACAGGAGCTCAGCATCTCTGCAGCCAGCCCCTAGCACAAAGCCTACTAGTCTATGCCTGCTGGAGGCATTCACTTTCCAAAATGAAGAACACCTGACAGAACCCATCTGCCGCTTTGAAGACATTTTCCATTCCCTAAATTCCCTAACTTTGTCACAGGTGCGCGGTGCCTACAAACTGCTTTGATTTTAGTGTGTGCACTTGCCAAAAAGTACAAGAACTCAGATTGGTCTGTCTCTTGACAAACTCCCAGCTTTAATTGGTAAATCAGGAAAGCTTAATTTCAGCAGTACGTAAGCCTTCTAGTAACAAGGTTGTTAGACAGTTATAAGCAAAAAGCCTTATGTAAACAGTTCTGATCCATGTTTGGCAGCTAGGCACATTTCTAGAATTTACTCTCACCTAGTTTTTCAGTTGTTTTCTGCCACTAGAGGTTTAAGTTTGTGCTATAAAAGTGTGTGCATTTTCTGCATTTTGCCTCCAGTCTTGAACCTCATCCTAAACTCTAGGGCAGGCTGCCTAACCCTTCTCTTTTTGCTCAGTCTTCCCCAAGCTCTTTGGCTTTTGCCTCACTATTGCGTGCCACTCTAATTATGACTCCTAAATTTTCACCTTATGTGGCTTCACTGACTCATTTCCTTGTACCACCTTTACCTTTTTGCTACTTCTGCAAGACAAATGCAGCTCCAATGATTCTCTTCCGTGACTTTCAGTGCTGGTCATCTACAAAAATTTAAAGTCAGTGTACTGGCCTATCCCTGAAGAAAATGATGACAACTCTGTCTCTGTATCCTAGCTGTGTACTTCAGTTATACAGTTCTCTCCACTAAGTCATTCTTAATTTGCTGATTGTTGCTGTATCTTTAAGAGTTATAGTATTCTGCAAAACAGTAAGTCTCAAAGTCTCAGTAAGTGTTCACTGTGATGATATTTTTGTTAAACTCTTGGTGATAGTTGCGCTCTTAGCTTTCAATATAGACTGTACACAACATCTTTACACACACGGGCAAAGTTGGATGAGCCGGGAACAAGGTACTCTAGATGATCTCTGAGTTTATGCAGTCCCTGGGTATCTAGATCCCTTTTTCAGCTTTGTAGAGATTTGTCTGATCTGAACACTCTGCTGCTTATTTCACAGGATGCACTGAAGGCCCAGTGGACCTGGTGTTTGTGATTGATGGATCAAAAAGTCTTGGAGAGGATAATTTTGAAATTGTAAAACAGTTTGTCTCAGGAGTCCTAGATACACTTGAGATTTCACCCAAAGCTGCTCGAGTTGGTTTGCTTCAGTATTCCAGTGAAGTTCGCACAGAATTTACATTAAGGCAGTTGAGCTCAGCCAAAGACATGAAGAAAGCTGTATCACAAATGAAGTACATGGGGCGAGGTTCCATGACAGGACTGGCTCTGAAGCACATGTTTGAGAGAAGCTTCACAGAAACAGAAGGAGCAAGACCATTTTCAGCACATGTCCCTCGAATCTCCATTGTGTTTACGGATGGACGAGCCCAAGATGAAGTCTCCGAGTGGGCTGCTAGAGCAAAACAAAATGGTAAGGGGAGATGGCTTTGATTCATTCTAAAAGGCAAACAATGGTAGAAATAAGATGTAGTAATAGTATAGATGTGCTACAGCATGTGCTAATCAAAAGAGTGTTTGCCGTAGCAGTCTGGCTCATACTGTGACCACTGTAGCAGAACACTGGATCTTTAGTGTTCACAAGAGCCTTTGCTACAAGGCATGTATGTCATCCCTAGTGTGGGACCCATGATGAGTGTCTCACCACTGGAGTTCCATGCCATCCACAGCTGGTGCTACTGCCCACCTGGCATGCCATGCAGCGCCCTGAACGTATCCACTGAGATTAGACATTTGATACAGAGATTTGGGAACACTGGGAGCTTCATCAAAAGTTCTAAAAAACAATTAAAAAAACCCTTACCCTATCTATCTCTTCAAAATACAGAAATCCCTCCTCCTGAGAAACACTATGGTAATCATTAGTTATCTTATATTTTTGTTATATATATATT